AAGCTTTTACCAAAATCAGCAATACACCGAAGTGTTATTGAGTTGAGAAACAGAATCACTCCTTCTTGAATGACTTTCTTTCTTTTCAGTGGTACGGCCATGTCTGAAACCGTGGTGAGCTGCTTGAGAAAACTCGATGTGGATCTGTCTCGGATAGGAACTATAGTAGCGAATGAGATTCGGCCTTTGCAAGAATTGGCACTTTATCTTCGTACAAAATTGTGAGATACATCTCCATGTTTTACGAAATGAATTTCATTAAAAATTGGGTTCAACAATTTTTTCAGTGTTCCGTGCGCGGCAAATACCATGAGCCTTGTTGTTGGAGAAACACTCAGTACGGAGCCATGTGCTTCAACAATCGGAAGGCTGCGTTTTTTGATATCAGAATTCCAAAGAAACAAGGGCGCGAAAATGCATTTGAGAAGGTACGTATTTTTGCTTTTTTCTTCGTTTTCTTAATTGCTTTTTATTTTAAAAAGTGGGAGACTATATCTTTTGCTTCAGTCGCCAGAGGGAGTGCAAACTACTTGAAGTAACTCCAAATGTCGACACACCAGATCGATGGATCACTACTTATAGCATGATCTGTGATTTTCTGGTTACCGTGAGTTGTTTATTATTTACATTAACATCTAATTATTACTCTTGATTGTAATTCACATGGAATTCTTTCAGTTGCCAGTATTCACTGAGCTAATGGCAAGGATGAATTTACCACAGCTGCAGGAGGGCGATATACATTTTCTGGAAGCGCTCAGGACATTTTTGGAGCCGTTTTACTCACTTACCAAGCAGGTAAGCGATAGTCGTAGTGTTTGATTTGATTACTAACTCCTTAGTGTGATTGATGAATGAGCTGACCACCTGCGTTTATCTTGCCATCTTACCAAATTCGAACTCCACCAACAATTTAACTATAATAATGCTACGTATTTCAGGTCTGCGCGAGAGATGCGACTGCGTCGGTATTCCTTGCTGTTGGACGAATACTCATCACGACGACTGAGAAGTAAGTTTGCTTTATTGAACCTATCCAGTATGGGTGATATGTTTATGGTATTAGGTTGTTCCATAGGTCTTGCAAAACTGTTTCGGTTCTTCACAGTTTCAACAAATTAGCTTGATCAAGT